CAAAAAAATAAACCACAAACTTTAAATTTTCATCAAATACTTTATCTAATTACTAAAAGCAGTAATGTAAAAACCATATACCATATATATGAAAACATCAAACACTTTGACACATTCTGCCTCGGCTTGGCTCATCAGTAATGTCCTTATCTATCCCAGCGACTAAGCAATTGAATGTGATGTTTTGTGATTTGTCTACAAATGTAAATTTAAATGTGTGTGTGTGTAAAAGACTGTTGGGCTTTTGGCATCATTTTTGTCAGTGTGATGTGAAGTAGAGAATTTCTAGGAGGGGCTCACCGTCTGATATCTGGATGAGGGACCGTAACTAATGGCCTCTTGTCAAGCCACGGATAATGTATGGCTCCACATTTAGTTGGATAAATAGGATATGTGTGTGCATATGTGTGTGTATGAGTGGTGAGGGATATTCTGTGTGATTGCAATATGCTGCCATTTGTATTAGCTCATGTGTGTTGGCATGCACCTACATGCTTGGCTAGTCATTTGTGCAAGCAAGGATGCACCATAAATATATTTGTCAAATATCCTTTTTTTGTTTGGTACCTTGCACCGCATGCCTCTGCATCTCAACTCTGATGGCTCTGATGAGTAGTTCTGTTAATATTTCATAGGTAATTCTACATGCCAAATAGTAAGTTATTGTGTTTTTGTGGAGCCATTCATCTTCATAGTAGCTAATTTGCCCTGTGGTGTAATGGCACAGAGAGCTTTGTGGGTGTAATGGGAGTCAATGATATTTTCTGGAGATATGATTGCCCTAGCATTTTATTTTTCACGCAAATACAAATGTGTGTGCATGTGGCGCACACACACACAGCAAAGATTTGTGATCAGTTGGAGTTCACATGCATGAGGGAAAAAGTCTCCTAAGCTTGAGTGAATGCAGCTGTTCCATTTCTCATATCCATCCACATATTTATCTTAGTAAGCTACATGTAAGCTGTTATTTATGATGGGACTCTGGAGAATTATATGATCTAAGTAGCTTCTCTCTTATTATTGCCATAATGCGCATTAAAGCATTAAAGATAGCTGTGTATGCTCTCCTGGTGGTTTTGTTCATCCATATTCATGAGGATGGGAGAATTTGAGGCTTGCTAGGTTGTCAGTATATTAATCTTAGATACCTCTCTCACTCTCCCTTGCTCTCTCTCTTGCATGCTCGCTCTCTCTTTTTTTCTCTCACTTCCAAAGAGAGATCAGATTTGAGCTAAAGTAATGAACAGCTGTAATGGGCTGTCGTATCTGTAAAAATCTCTCTGGAAGCAATTGGCCAAGACTTTGTGTTGCATTCAGGAAACACAAGTTCAACAAAAAGACCTGTTTTATGAAGCCTTTATGAAGGGTCTGTGCAATGTGTTTCCTGCTTTGTGGCAGCTTATTTTGCAGCTTATGTTATGAATATTTTTTACAATTTTCAACAGTTATGTTTGACCCTTGGAAAGAAGAAAAGGAGCACAAATGATCATAGTTAAGAAAGAAAGAGAAGGAGATATTATTTACCTATTTACCTCTTTTCTCCACCTACCCATCCTTCTCCTCCTCCATCCCCCAGTCTCTCTGTCCAGCCAACAGAAATACATTTACTGAGACACACTTGCCTTGAATTTCCTCCCTGCTGCTGTCTCAAACACTTTATTGAATTATCGAACAGTGAATATATATGACAAATGGAGTCAACAGACTAGGTTTTGGTTTATAACGCTATCCAAACACACTGTGTTTACTCTGGGAAATCAAAGTATAAATCTGTCCCTGGACCACGTGCAGATCAATAGTCTGATTCAGATACCTTCAGGTGCCCGTCAACTAACACATGAGTAATACTGCAGTGAATGCAGAATCTTTTTGCTTCAAGTGGCCTTTTGCAAAGCAGAAGCATTGCATAGTTAGCCATGAGGCTTCACTGACATTTGTATATGTGCAGTGTTATGACCCAGGGTCATTATTTGCGGTACGGTGTTGTTATTGTTTGTATTTGTATTCAGTGTTGCTTGTTTCCAGGTGGAGGCCACCCATTGGTGGAGGAAGGAAAGAGGCCAGCTACAAAAGGGGTTGGACTGGGTCGGCGAGCAGACTTCCTGGTTTCCCGTGAGCTGTGTGTCTGGGGACCGTCGTGGTGTGTGACTGCACGGGGCTGCAATATTAATGCTGAAAAAGGGGTTGTACCTGGGCTTGGTAGCTGTAGGGGTGGGAAGCCGTTTTCTTTTATTCCCCTCTTTTCTCCTGTTTCGGGTAGGGAGACAGGTTAGAGAATTGTATTTTGTTTTGGGATCGTGGGAGGTAAGTTAGCTCTGTTTTTCTTTCTAGTGTGTTTTGTTTGTTGTTTTGGCATCGCCCACCCTGAAGCTCGCTACCTGTTCAGTAAATAAATTAACCAACTCTCGTCATTCTGCCGTGGTGTAATTTTTTTTGTCGTTATTATGTATCGGGTTTATCTTTTTGTTGTGTTGCACCCCGGCTTTGGGCCGGTGTGTAACATAAATGGGGGCTCGTCCGTTTGAGGGATTTCGGGGTCGTTTGTGTGTAGTGGGGTTCGTGTGGGTGTGTGGGGTTTTTTTTGTGTTTTTGGGGGTTGTTTGTGTGGGTGGCCGCGGATGGAGTTTGATGTGGATAAGTTTGCCGAGGCGCCTTCCTTGCATCAGTTGAGTCGGTGTCGGAGGGAGGATTTGCTGCTTATTGCGGGCTGTTTTGATGTGCGAGCGCCGGCGGGGGTGAAAAAGGATGATTTGCAACAGCTTGTCACGGTGGCTTTGAGCGAGCGGGGTTTGCTGTCGAGCGTGCCGCTTGTTGGTGGGACGGGCGGGGCGGCTATGGAGCCGTTGGCTCCGTTGTCTGTTCCTCCTGTGGCCGCCCCCTCTGTGGCTCCTCCTGCTCCGGTGGTGGGGTCGTCGGCGGAGGAGCTCCAGTTGTTGCTCCGCATTAAGGAGGTGGAGTTGAGTAGTCACCGGTTGGAGGTAGAAGCGATGCATTTGAGGGTGAGGGCGTTGGAGTTGGAGCGCGGACCTCCACCGCGTGCCCCTGACTCTATGCCGCCCACGCCTGCGCCCTCTGTGCTCCCTGCGCCGCCGGCGCCTGGTCCCGCCCCGGCTCTCCGTCAGGATTTTGATGTTGGGAGGCACATTAAATTGGTGCCGCCCTTTTGTGAATCAGAGGTGGAGTCGTTTTTTCCTGCTTTTGAGCGTGTGGCTGCCGCGTTAAAGTGGCCGGAGGAGGTCTGGGTTTTGCTGTTGCAGTGTCGGCTGGTGGGTAGGGCTCAGGAGGTGTGGGCTAGCCTGTCAGCATCTGAGAGCTTAGATTATGGTGTGGTTAAGGCTGCCGTATTGCGTGCTTTTGAGTTGGTGCCTGAAGCGTACCGTCAGAAGTTTCGGCAGTGTGTGAGGGGGGGGGATCAGACTTATGTGGAGTTTGCGCGCGAGAAGGGTTTGCTCTTTGATCGGTGGTGCCAGGCTAGTGAGGTTAAGGAGTTTGCACAGTTGAAGGAGTTGATGTTATTGGAGGATTTCAAGGGGTGTCTGCCGGAGCGGGTGGTTGTTTATTTGAACGAGCAGAAGGTCGTTTCCCTCGCGAAAGCGGCGGTTCTGGCAGATGAGTTTGCTTTGACGCACAAGAGGGGTTTTTCCCCTCCGTTACGTCGGGGTTCTAGAGTTTTGCCGGAGGTGGGGGGAGGGCGTTCTCCCCCGCTCTCGCGGCGTAGCCCTACGGTGGCTTCTGGGGACCGCCGATGTTTTTTTTGTCATGAGCTCGGTCATCTCGTTGCTTCTTGTCCCGTGCTGAGGGCGAGGGAGGGGGCGTGGGCCGACATTTCGGGGGGGGCCGTGCAGTGTTGCTCCGCGGTAACCCGCCCTAGCTTAATGCCGGTTGGTGTCGTTCCGCGGGGGATAGATGAGGTGTTTCGACCGTTTGTTTTGACGGGGTTTTTATCGTTGTCTGGTGATGCGGGGGACCGGGTTCCGATCACCATCTTGAGGGATACAGGGGCGAAGCATTCGGTGGCGCGGCATGGAGTCGTGCCTTTCTCTCAGCAGTCGTACTGTGGTTCTGATTTGCTGGTGTGGGGTATCAAGGTGAGTATTTTACGCATGCCTCTCCATACGGTTACTTTGACCTCGTCCTTCGTATCGGGCGCTGTGCGGGTGGGGGTTCGAGATCAGCTGCCAATTGAAGGCATTGATCTTGTTTTGGGAAATGACTTGGCCGGGGGAAAAGTGTTTCCGGCTATGCCGGAAGTTATTGAGTGTCCTACTTCGGATCGGTTATGCCAATTCCCGTCGGAGCTGGGTGACCCCACAGTTTATCCGGCATGTGTGGTTACTCGTGCTCAAGCTCGTCGCTTGGGTGGTGAGGTGGACATATCCGAAATGTTTCCGGACGGCTCTGAGCCGCATGATAGTTCTGTTCCGGGGGTAGATGGTGGGACGGCGAAGGTTTTTAGTATGGTGTCGGAGAAGGAGGCAGCAGGTATCCGCAGGTTTGTGTGTGGTCAACTCCGTGACGAGGCAGACCTGAGCACGCTGACCTTGGGAATTTTAAAAAAGAGATATCAGACACACAACAAATGTGACTCATTAAGGCCAGAAGTAAAAACTTTCATGAAACAGGTGGTGCAAGAGGAACTGATGAAAATGCAGGATAATGATGAAAGTGAAAGTGACTCAGAGACTAAGAAGCTCCAGAACAAAAGGAAAAGAGAAAATGAAAATGACGAGGTCATGAGTGAGAGTGAAGATGAATCCTGGGCAAAGAAATCACAAAATAATCATTCAAGCTCATCATCAGAATCTGAGTTTCAAGAGGACAACAAAACAGAAAGTAAGGAAAGCAGCAATGATGAAGAAAATGCCAAATCTCAAGCTGATGGTGAAGAGCCAGAGGTGAAAAAATCACAACAAAAGAGAAATGAAAATCGTCAAATTGACAGTGACGAGTCTTCTGATGAGGAACTCAGTGAGGAAAGCAACTGCAGTGACAGAAAATGGTGAGAATGAACGTCGAGACAGTAACCAGCAGTAAAGATGAAGGAAGGAGAACACCACTGAGTGATGCAGGAAACGAATCAGATGGAGACTGCAAGTCAGAAACGAGTGACAAAATTAGGAGCGACGAGTCTTCTGACAGTGAAAAAGAAGATACAAAAGTGGAAGAGAAAACCAGTGACCCAGACTCAGTTTCATCACTACCTTCTTTGGAAGATGAAAAAGAAAATAAGACTGATAAAACAAATGATAAAAAGATGAAGAAGAGTGTGAAGAAAGATGAGAGCACCAGAAAACCAAAGTCTGATGACAAATCGGTGGCGAGGCTTGAACGTTATATTGCCCTCTGCGGCGTGAGGAGAAATTACAAGAAGCTGCTGGAGGACTGCCGCTCCCAGGTGGCTGTTCTGAAGAAGGAGCTTGAAGAGCTTGGTGTACATGGTCAGCCAACTATTCAGAAATGGAAAAAGGTCAGAATGAAGAGAGAGCAAGCTCAAGAACTGTCTGCTCTTGATGTCAACAACATCATTACCACACAAGGTCGACCTACACGCAGGGGTGCCTCAGCAAGTCAGAAACAACAGGACTGTCCGTCCTCTGAATATCAGCGCACTCTAAACTCGGAATCAGACAGTGATCAGGAAAACAATACCCACAGAGGTCGCAGGAAAATGTCCGAATGGGCTAACCTGCAGGGGATCATCAGTGATGACACAGACAGTGACTGATGAGTCTGGTTTCCCCCTAGGAAGTGTTCGATTTGTTTGTTTGTTTTAATGTTTTTGATACTAGGTCTAGCATCTCTCTAATGAGATGCTTGATTTTAGGTGGGGGGGTGTTATGACCCAGGGTCATTATTTGCGGTACGGTGTTGTTATTGTTTGTATTTGTATTCAGTGTTGCTTGTTTCCAGGTGGAGGCCACCCATTGGTGGAGGAAGGAAAGAGGCCAGCTACAAAAGGGGTTGGACTGGGTCGGCGAGCAGACTTCCTGGTTTCCCGTGAGCTGTGTGTCTGGGGACCGTCGTGGTGTGTGACTGCACGGGGCTGCAATATTAATGCTGAAAAAGGGGTTGTACCTGGGCTTGGTAGCTGTAGGGGTGGGAAGCCGTTTTCTTTTATTCCCCTCTTTTCTCCTGTTTCGGGTAGGGAGACAGGTTAGAGAATTGTATTTTGTTTTGGGATCGTGGGAGGTAAGTTAGCTTTGTTTTTCTTTCTAGTGTGTTTTGTTTGTTGTTTTGGCATCGCCCACCCTGAAGCTCGCTACCTGTTCAGTAAATAAATTAACCAACTCTCGTCATTCTGCCGTGGTGTGATTTTTTTTTTGTCGTTATTATGTATTGGGTTTATCTTTTTGTTGTGTTGCACCCCGGCTTCGGGCCGGTGTGTAACAGCAGAGACCCTGTGCATGTCTTTCCTCTGAGGTGAGGAGAGAGGATGGCAAACAGAGGTGGTTGGTATCTGTAGTATTGTCCTTTTATTTAGTTTAGCCAAAGAAGGGTTAATACCAAGACCAGATCATTCAGGAGAGGAGATAGAAAGTCAGAAAAAACACATCTGCCAGAGTCATTCAGAGACTAAACCTCCCTCATGCAGTATGAAAGTCTGTCAGCAGACAGACCCCCGTCTATGGGGTGAAAGCAAAGGATGAGGGAGATATGAAGGTTTGACCAGAGGGAAAAAGGAAACTGTTGACTTTTGAAATAGCAGTTTGACAACAACATCTTCTGACTGTATACAAGTCTAGCGGTGTAGCCCTTTGTGCACATACTGTATACTTGCATTTGTTTGCAGCTCATTGTATGCATATAAAAAATCAGTTTTGTGTGTGTATAAATGTGATGAGTGCAGCTAAAAGGGTGGTGAGTGCTCTCTCTGTGTCTTTATGTCACTGGATGAGTCAGCGTGTTGTTTACTGAAATTGTTGTTGGAGCAACCACACAGCCTTACCCTCTGAGTCCCAGTGTGCCTCATTAGCTGCTGCCATTTCAGCTCTTGTTCCCTTGTTAATCACCTCAGTCGATCACCTCTGTGCAATTAGTTAAATTTAGTGATTAAGTGGAGAAAGTTGAAAATGCAGCTTACAGTAGATTTAGGCAGTTACAGAAGTAGGACAGCCCTGCAAGCAGAGGGTGGTGAAGTGACTAGATGTAGATCAGAAGTTGGATACAAACCTGTGTGTGTTCTTCTTAAACTGATGGAGCATCTTCTTAAATCGTGTTAATTAAGTAGTGCTACTTGCTTTAGAGATACAACTCTAACAACCCCCCTTATTATTGTACATGAATTTTCTTTGTTTTGTAAAGCTGCCTGATGACAGCTGCATCTCATTGGAATCTGCACATAACTAATAACTATAGCCTTTCAGTAGATACATATATAAAATACAAAGTAGTGGAGTGGTGGTACGCATCTAATCTGAAGGATATATCTGTCATGACTTATTATTGTAACATATTGTTGCTATGCTACAATTCTTCTGGTTTTAAACATATGTCAGGACAATGCTTCTTGACAATTTGAAGTAAAAAATTAGATGTTCATATTTGAAAGTGCCATAGTTAACCTACTTAAGGCCCTGAGATCTCTTGGTGACCATCTGCCAAATATCGGTCAAAAAGGGAAAAATGCATATTCCCTGACTGGTTGGCAGGTGGTTGCTGGAGACTGAAACTAATTGCTAAAGCTCTAGTCACCAAGGCCTGGACATGGGTCAGATACCCCCTGACCACAGGTGGCTAGGGAAAAATGGTTGCTGGCAGTTCTAGGTAAAACATGTTCCAAACAGGTATATGGTTCTGCACTGAAAACCTCCTTGTGATTGGTTTGGTTGTTAGCAGAGTGCCTTGGTTGCTCATAGTTTACATGCATCTTTTCTGCAAACACTCACGTATGAGTGTTTGAGTGTTTGCAGTATGTTATACTTCTTCCTACTCCATTTCAGACTTAATAATTGTCATTTCATGTCATTTAGACTCTGTTTTATTTTATTTATTTTCTTTTTTTTGTTTTGTCTGAGCACATACGTGTGTATTAACATATATATTCGTATTTGTAAATGCAAGTATGTGTACTTGTGTATATATTGTTTTTTTCTGTATATGTCTGAAATAAAGATACAATAATAATAACAATAACTCACCAGTAAAGTTTGCCTTCAAAGTAAAAGTTGCACCCTTCGGTTCGCCTTGCACTTTTTGCAGTTTCACATCCACTCAACTGGTAGTGAGCAAATGTTTGCAGACAAGTTGGTGTCTTCCTTGCAATTTACAGGTGACGGTGGCAGTCTGCTAGTAACCAAAGCAATCACCAGAAGGTAGCACCCTCCTGGAGACCAACTTTACCCAGCAACTTCCCAGCCAGTCAGGGAATACACAATTTCCTTCATCAGTAGTTGTCAGGTGATTGCCAAAGGTTCTTTAGGCCTGAGTGACTCAGGCCTAAAGCAGGTACCACTGGTAATGAGTTGTATTGGTCACCAAAGTCCAATCAAGCCACACTTAAGTGTCCCTGGTCTATTTGCTCTGGGAGTCCTGTTGTTGAATCTTAAACTCACTAAAAAATAAGGTACAAAACTTTACTTTTGTGTTCTTTAAGATGTGTCTCTCTCTCACACACACTCACACACACACACACACCTTCTATTGTGTTTTATTATTATCATTTGAGATATTCATTTAAACGTCTGAAATTCATTGCTTTTTGAAGGGCAATCCCGTTTTGTGTACATTGTCTCATTTTTTTTGCAATGATACTCTCCAGAGAAGCTCATATTTTTGAATCTGTGTCTGTCTGTGCATGAGAGCATGTGTTGGGGATGTCACAGCTTCATAGATAGTGGTTTTAATGAGTATCATTCATTCATTCACAATCTAATATGACCTTGTTGCTTTCTGCCTTATTCCAAATAGCACTGTTATTCAATAAAAAGTCAGTCTAATATACTGTAGGCTATATGAGTACACACGTACTTTTCCAGTAAGTAGGCCACTTGGGTATAATGATACAAAGGAAATGAAAACAGTTCTGAAAAACAGCTATTTCAAAGTTTTGTCAGACTGCATCAATATCCATACCCATTATGGTGACGAGACAAAAAAAGAACAAATAAACGAGACTTACTAGAATATTTCAGGACTACACAAATCTTTTTTTTAAAGTATTTGTTTATGCTAATTTGCTTTGCTTACAATTTCTCGTTCCGTTTCATATCAAAAAGACATCCAATCATTTCTGCACAGATTGCCTTTTTTATGTTAATTTCACTATCTCACTGAAAATAAGTAAACATAGCTAGTACTTAGTTAAAGTGAAGAAAAATAAATTCATAGGATCCCACTCATTCTGTCAACGTCCACATTATCATTAGGCCAGATACTCACACAAGCTTCTATGAATACACAAACCTGGTATACAAAAGGGATAAGCATTAATAGTAATGACATCTTGTCATCTTTCCCATTACATTATTTAATTAAACCTTTTTGTAAGCTCGTTTTCCTTAAGATCTTTTTTTTTGGTTTTCAAAGCTGAGAGTTTCTTCTCATGGCCAAATTAAATTTGTTTGTCAAACATCCTTAAACATGTACGTGCTTGCACTTTGTACTACCACACCTTTTTTTTTTTCCTGAACAGTTATCTGTTATGTATGGCCACATGATGCCTCATTCAAGGGCAGTCTGCTCACCTGCATTTCATCCTTGAGAGCTGATTTCCCCTGGTGAGTGGAGCTGACCTCGGTGCAAATGCAGATGAGCATGTGGCCAGTGCCAACAAAAGATCAAGACCTTTGCTCCCTCTGGTTCAAACATGAGGGCTTATTTTAGTACCTACAGTTGTTTTTCTTTTTGATATTTTTTTTGTGGGATGAAAATATATTTGAAAATAGTCTTCTGCTTCTCATCTATCTGCTGTCAGTCACCGAGTGGATGCAGCAGTTCAGAAGTCACGCTGACCTTGACAAAAAAAGCCTTCTTCTGCTAACACACCTGCATGCCAATGGCCTTATGCTGTTGCTCTGAGATGTGAATTAAAATATTCAGGATGTATCCTGAAATTTTCTTGCTTTTTGGAGTCTTTAAAGTTGCAGTTCTAGTTCCATAAAGGAGTTGAATAATGCCCACAGTGTGAGAAATGTGATTTTAGTGTGGGGTAAAAAACAGATTAAATCTGGTTCAGTCTCTATGTGTTAATACACTGATTTTGCTAGTCTCATTAGGACTCCATCAGTCCTCAGCATTAACAGTAGTATTAACAACAAATCAGAGGTTACACTCTTATTTCCCCATTTTTTTTCTTAGTAATTTTCTCCATAGCACACCAGCCCTTTTGTGCTTTGTGCGTGTCATCTACTAATTTTGCAAAGCACACTAACCTTTCCCAGCACAATGTGATAATGGTAGGCTTAATGTCACGTTGTCGCTTCTTGAGGGTAGATAGGGAATCATTTGGGAATTTCATAAAAGATTAAGTGTAATAATTATCCCCTGCACAATTATGAGGGACATGTAGCTGACTGGAAAGGTGGATGCTAGTGTTGAAAAGAACACATCATTTTACAGAGTGAAAGGTCTTTTCTGTCTGACAAACACTGCATTCATTATGCAGACCTTTCTCTACCATGTTACCCAGTTACTGCAAATAAAGGTAAATTCTGCAGGCAGCTTATTACGATTTAAGTTTTATTGTTAAATGACCTCTGGCTCAGGGACCAATCCCTCAACATGAGGGGTGGGTTGAACTTATTAGAGCTGGCAATTGGGATATAAATTCTTAGTTTGATAGCACAGTGTAGCCAAAGGGTCATGTTATCTATTATTATTACATCTGTAATATTGTAGAGAGCAATTAATGAACTAAATTACCATTCTGATGCAACAGCTTTTAGGGGGACCTGCAGAATTGGCTCTTCTTCTTGAGAATTAGTTTGGTTATAGACAGAAATGATTTTGATGAGCAATATGGGTTTATTCCAGTTATATTTATTCAGTATGATAATAGGGGCACCTCAGCATGAACCATATATGTTTAATTTGTGTGATATACTGGGACATTTATGATTAGACCTATTTGTATCTATTGGAGCTATTTGTTTATATTTTGTAATGTTGTAATATGTTGTATTATTTAATTTAGTTTAGTTTTTATACTGTTCTGCATCCGAGAAGCTTGTGGGTGTTTTGTTTTTTTTGCTCTCTCGAACAAAAAAGATTTTTGGAAATCCTAAAACAACCAACTATTCTGGGAAGGTTTTCCATGCAGTTTAGGAGTGTGTATATGAGAATTTTTGACCATTCTTCCATAATTATTCCATCGCTCTAATCCAACAAAAAAGGCGTTTTGTCGGGTTG